TGAGATCTTGGTTGGGATACCAACGGTTGAATCACCAGAAACAACCTTATGTCCGTTAATTGGTTCATTCAATACACTACAAACCAATTTGTAAGGCAGATATAAACTTTGGCATCCAAAAGCCAAGTCTCAATGATCGCCATGGTCGGTTGCAATCATTTGCAAGCAAGGTATTTCTAACAAGTTCACCGTAACAACATAAAAGTCCAAATAATGCATTCTGGCGCGGGATAAAAATATGCCAGTGGTGCTGTCATCTCATATAGATTAGTATAAGCCACACGTAACAGCTGCAGAAAATAAACCAAAACCACGTATCGACCACAGCCATCGTCGTCATGACCGTCATGAGAATGGATGAGTTGGTGTTCGTGCGATTTTCGTATGTTAGACGGGTGGGCGAGCCCGACATACTTCAGTGACTGGTGTTCAGATCAGTTAGTGGGGGGATTTAACACTGAGTGTTGTCCGTCCTCGGACAACCTGGCAGTGTTTCAGTCCCCGAGCTTCCACAGGTTTTAGAAGCAGCAGTGTAACAACAGTTTAGGTTAAACAATTGGATTTAGCTCTGTTGTCGCATGAAACAAACCAGTCAGTTCAGTTTGGATCCCGCCGATTAGTAGATGGTCAACGATGCTCAGATAAGCTATGAGCTACACATTCAACAGGCAGTAGCGCATCTCGGAAAGTAAGTGTTCACTAAATATCAAGCTATTTTAAACGTGACCAAACAACGTCACCGCGATCAAACTGAAGCTTCGACCGATGCGCGCGCAAATTTGCACAAGAAAGTGCACCAGATCATGTGAAAATAAGGTATGATGCGGCACGTGAGCGTAGAAAAAACGCAAATTCCTGTCACGAACAGTGAGGCTGTGGACGAACCGAAAATCTAGTCGTGAACTTAATATTCCCCTCTGCATCTCACCCAATACTTACTGGGATACGTCGTTTTCGACTTCACACAAGAGGCGACCCACTGATGAGCAGTAAAATTGACTGAGAAAACATCCGTCTGAACAGACCGAGTAATCACACGTACGTGGGTTCAATGGCTGCACCAGAAATGGTAGCTCATTTTTGAATCAGCTGACACGCGAAGAGTTAAGAAAGTGATTTGACCAACTACTGACATCGAATAGAAGCAAAAATCCTTACGGCTGAGATATTTGCGAATCAGTCGCATAGTTATCCTCAGGTTGAATTTCCAGCAGCCTAAACTGCGGGCTTTTCGGAGGATTGGTGAGTGGTTAAGCTTGTAAAGCAGACCATTCGAGCTGTCCGGCTAAATTATATCCAATTCACCGGTGGATGGTCAATACATGGCAACTGTTGGCCAAATTTCGCACGAGTTATAATCGATGTTCACCTGATGAGCCCCTCCCTAAAGGCCACTGTGGATGAGCTCTTCGATACCATGGATACGACTCAGTGAAATCCACGTTCTCACTGAGGATGAAGGGCTAGGCGGTTCATCAGCTACCTGTTGGGTCGAGTTGTCCGATCAAATCAATAGCCGGTCGGATAAGGCAACGCCAAAATAATCCCCCTACAATAACCTCAATCTACAATTCGTACGGAAAATGTCCTTATTCGAAGATTTTATGAAGAAAAACTTGGCTATCGCAGTGACGCCGTACGACTCAGTGGATCTGCTCAGGAATCCGCGTTGACGTGGACAGTGGATACATTGGTAATTGACCAGGTGGCTTTTGATCTGATGGCCAAGCCTGGCAGTTGGCTCTCAGACGCTTCGTCACCATTCGAGGCGACATTCAATGCACAGTTGGGTGAGCTTGAGCTTATATAGTTTGCAAACAACACAGTTAAGCTATCACCTGATTGGCAGATTAAAGTTGTTCTTTGCCAACTATATGAGCGCAAGAACGACGAGATGAACCCCCCACCAGACACCGTACTGATGATGTCTCTTCGAATGGTGACGAAACATCCGCAATACGATTGCCAAGCTCGGCGAACGGAACAACAGCCACCTGATCAATTGCTAATGAATGGACCCGATCTTCGAATATTCCAACAATGGACGTGTACGGGTCGTAGGTCACGAAACAACGCAAGATACACTCTGAAGCCTACAAGCGAAGTACAATTGGCTTTTCCGGTAAACTATGTCATCAAAATACCGCAACTCAATAGCGTACTCAGCAAAGCGACGTTTTTAGTGACAGGTATATTGGTTTCTGACGGCTCCAAAGCAACGACCGCTTCAGACTACTTCCTGGCGTATAGGGTAACATGTTTTACAGTCATCAGTTGTTCAGAACTGAGGTTAATCAATCACTCCATTTCCAGAAAGCCCGATTGTCAGCTTTCACCAATATGCCCTTCATGTGTANAGCAAATAGTCATCGCCTGCTGAACCTGGAGGAAGCACAAACTTAAGGCGATGAAGTGTGCAGGTTAGCGCCAGAGCGCTACACTGCTTACCCAGATGCTATTATGAGCGCAACGAACGCACGGAAAACATTTTGGCAGTTACACTGTCGTAACGGCTGAACAGTTACACCTACTACCAACCTCAAGCTTGCATTGGCCCCGTCAGAGTGTATAACGACGCGCGTCGTGGCATGTGCTCACGGACGAACTCATGGAAAACTCTCACCAACAAAAATAGGAGCTTAGTTCAAAAACTTTGAGATGTCTTATGCTCTGGAGTTCCCAAGTCCCGAGGTTTTACTTTACTGCGAATAGGTATCCCCATTGTAAACCACTTTGGGTTAAAAGAGCCTGGTGGTGCAGTCATTCTTGTTCAGGAATTTCTTCAGTGAGTAGGAGAAATACAATTAATTGGGTCGGGAAAGAAACTCTCCAACGACGCTGTCCGAAGCGGTGTTTTAGTGATACGGGCAGCTCTATACTCGATCACTACTACATGAAGTTTATATATACCGAGGTTAATCACTTATGTAAACCACTTATGTGGTGCCATGTGCTGTCACGAGCCATCGTCAAGATTGAAAAGCAAAGTCAAAAAAGAATTTGTTTTCCGATTTCACAAAAACCAAGGAATACACAGCTTCTCTACGAGAATGCGGGACTAAAGAGGGTGAACTGCAATGCGGTTACGAAACGATCAAAATACTCATGCCAGCTTTGCCTTTCCACCACGCCGCTTGCTTGGAGCAGTTGTCTTATTTGGAATAGGTTGGATCGAGACTTTGGACGAAACCCGTTCGAAAGACGCTGTCGGAAGCGGTGCGAAGACCAAACTGGTCAACAGAATGCCGTGACAAGCATGGAGCAATCCGCTGCTGAATACTGTGGACGGGTAGGTGTTCCAACACACTTCGATTAGACCAAAAATGAGCAACCTGGAAAACAGATAAACGTAATATAAAACATGAGGAACGGTGCGCCAAGGAAAGAAAGATGCCGTTAGTCTGGTGACAAAGCATTACCATATAGGGCAGGGTTCATTCGAGGGTCAAGAGCTAGGGTGTGACCATTGTTCAAAATTAATGCACATCAGAATGAAAGAACGTTCACCGCCGAATCCCCATGGATCGAAAGCGACACGGGTTATGTATAGACACTGACTCACTTCAATGGACTCGACGGTAGACTTGTGGTCCACAGTAGATAAGGAATGGTATGGAAGTACCAGACGTAGAACTGATAGTGCAACGATCGACTGAAGGTGACCCCAATGAAATTGGAGATAAACATGGGATAGATGACACCTATAATAGAGAATAGGATTGAAGAATCCATGCAGAAAAAGTCTGGAAGAAAACTTAGAAATGCAGTAGCGCCCAGGGGCATAATCAAAACAATAGTTGTAGTGTTTAGGACAAGGTTTCGTGGCAAAGAGTACGGGGACAATTGCCACATATCGGACAGTAAGCTCGACTCAAGGTAAACATTACCAGAGAGGAAAATCAATTTATTGAACCACACAAAGCAAGCGCGCACTTTTCAAAACACTGGCTGTCAAATGCTAAGATCGCCTGTCACTATGTTCTGACCGGCCACCAACAAACTTACTTATCGATCAATCGAAAATGTACTCAGTAGTCAACCACCGTATGGGGTATTCCTAAGATCAAATACAGTAGCTCTCAGAATATATTCTTCACCGGGGAGGGAAAGGCCTAACAAGAAGAATATGCCAATGTAATTAAGAGCTTATTCGCCACCATATGATAAATGTCATGAAATGCTCGCTAGTGGTGTTCCCCAGCTAGGTTCACACAGCTATGCAATGGTTCTTTGCGTTTTCACGAAGAAAAAACTGGATGGACCTTAAGCATCAAATCCGCAGTTGAAACGCAAAAATATCCTCATCACGTGTTTTACTTAGTTACCAGTAATAAAACTAGAACGAGTGACAAAATAAAAACCCAACATAGTCGTAATGAACAGTCTCCTCCTTTGAATTTGATGAGACTTGTACTCAACCATAGTTAGTTAAATGAGACCAAACGAATGGAGAAGACAGAAAATCTGGGTTGGCTTTTCACAACAGACCACTTTTTAAACTCCACTCTAGTGGAGTAGTCCTTCTTGAGTTTTGCGCAACTTGCCCATCGTCGAGCACACAGGCTCATCATGGAGCGTTCGAGGGTACAATGAACTCTGCCGCACCCTACAGCACTGGATACAAATATTTCATTGATATCTCCTTGCGAAAAGGTTGTGTTTACAGTGCACTGTGGGCCTGAAGAAAGCTGCGCATTCAAGATAGAGCGTGGCACTCAGGCTGAGGGGGGCAGGCTGTTCTCCTCTTAAAAGCACCTATCTTGGGGGATAGACTAACAAAGAAACGCAACCAAGTTCTGGACCAGGTAATTTCGCGTCACTGTTTGAGGCACACCCTCGCTCTCTCGATTTGGGAGCAGCAGTACCGCACTTCTTCAAATCCGACGGAGACACCCAATAAGTTCAACAGCTGGCGCATCCTGGATGCATACGTATTTTTGCCTTCAGGCAGAAAGATCCAGAAAACTTAAGAATAAAAGGCCAGGATGTTTACAGTCCGGGCGTTTTAACGCGAGAGTCATTCCAAAAGGCGTGAATAACAAAATGCCGGACACAATCAATTGATACTTCGGTTACACGTGGTGTATTCCAGCCAAACAACGATCCTAATCGCTGGTAGACAAAACGCGAAGAAGGTTTAACTGAACAGCGAAAAAGATGACAACCGGGACAGGAGATTAAGGACCATGTTAACGCTATCTATTTCACACTGGAGTGATAAAAAACTCCGAAACTCAGCATACAAACGAGACTTTCGCACACAGCGGATAGTCAAAATGAGGATCAGAGAGTCACTTGACCAACGAACAGAGATCCAAGCGTGGAGTGATCAGAATATCACGGAGAACTAAAATATTGGAGAGCCAAGCACGTCCGATGCCGTAATCAAATCCGTAATCGAATCCAATAGCCATCCTGGTCAACCATGTCTGTCATTGAATCTTAGGAAGCATGAGGAATAATACAGTGCTAAAATTGCAGATCTCGCTTGACGGATGCAGTGTCATTTGTACAGATGAGCATGCAGGGCTACGTTTCGAAAGAGAATCAGTACTATGAACTGTGAGCGAACTCAACAGAGCGAACTCAACTGAGTAACCAGGATTATCGAGATGTTCCCCACATAGCTTCATTCAAAGTGACAGTGGGAGAGGTCCCTTTTGAGAAACCAGTCAGAAACGAATGCTTATTCTAGATACTAGCACAGACCCACTGTGTTGTTTATAGGTGAACCCGGAGCCGCTTGGAAAACGGTATGTTCAGGCCAATCGAACCAGCTCGACAAATAAAACGAATTAACTAATCAAATTCAAACATCAGAACAATCAACTCAAAACTGGAAACTCAAAACCAACTTAGATGTCAGCTGGGGTACATAGAGTGAGGAGCAATTGCTAACGAAGGAGATTTGCGAATATATTCCAAGTTGAAACCACGTGGCCAGAACTGGAAGTTGGAGACCAAAAGTGGAGACTCAAGGGTAAGGGAAACATGGTCCATTAAACAGTGGAAGTAAACCCACTCACACACCTGACATATCCTTGCGAGGATCCCGATCTGGAGGAACTTGGAGTTCCAAAAACTCAGAAAATCCGCCACGATATCTGAAAATTGGGCAAGATATGAAGAACTTTCGAATACAACCGTCTGTGAGTGCTGGTTATTGCGTATCCGAGATCATATATTGCAAAGGAACAGAGCGAACACAACTGAGAGGAGCCACGCAGAGGTCTGGAGGGTTCAGGCGTTGTGGCGATCTGGACCACAGTATCGGGTGCCATAGAATGGATATCCGGTATGGGGAATGATATGCTCACAGGGCAGCTCGAAAGAGGGTAGGACTGTAACCACAGATTGGAAAGTGGCAAATATAACGCACTTTGTTTGACTAAAATCCTGAATGCGAGCTGTCGGTGAAAGCGCACTTGACAAACAAATAAAGACATACGGGCCAACAGCGAACCACATGCACGGCGGAACGACCTTGGACACGTGCTGATTGAAGTGACCTGAGTCACGTGACTTGTGGTTAGCTGAGTAGGGGCCTGATGTCCATCCTGACCATTCACGTCCAACTCCAGACAAGTCGTTAACCATCTGCCGTGTAACTCTCCAAATGGAGTTCGTATGGGATGAACTAAGAAAACACGACTACAGTGTTGATAAATACAGGGAGATCGAACTAACTAGCAGTTAACCTAAGACAACGTAATGTTTGAACATTTTGACCTAAGTGGGGACAAAACAGGAAACGAATTCATTTAATTGACAGGAATGAAGACTTGGGCCTCCACAGAAGCTGTTCCAACACACTAGAAGACTGCCTCACGTGTTAACCGCGTTCACTGCACCATCACAGACTACAAGACCAGTTAACTAGATAAGGTTTGTGCATTAGAAAGCGGTTGTGTTGCATTGCCTTCCAGAACAAACGTTCCGCTAGAAGGAATCTCAGCCCTCGTGGCATACCAGCTAGGGACCGAAAGAGGATTACAGCTGAACGATTATATATTAATAGTACGGACATCACCGAAAGGGAGAATGAGTAGCCAAACACCAACCTCACGGGTTGAAATTGGTAAGGATCTAGCGAATAAACGTAACATATACCTGACCCATTTGAACAGCAGAATAATTAGGAAGGTTGCATGAAGACCGAGCAATACAGCATGGAACCGACGATCAAGAAATACGTCCTCAGGGATGATGCGCCAGTTGACAGTCCACTTGTACATAAATTGACGACCAAAGTTAAATGCACGACTGATATAAGCCTCATAGTTGTGGAACAAAAATGGCGCACCCACAACGAGCTGAAAGGGGGGGCGAAAAAAAGTTCGAGTAAACGACCAAATATACAGAACCCCCAACAGGCATTCGTAGTGGCAGTAGCAGTTTGTGCAAACAAGCATTTATTTGCTAATTAAGATGGTGTTAGCAGAATCCCTTGTTTATGATTTTTGCTATCTTATGGGGAGCAGCTAACCTGAATACACTACTAGCCGGGGCAGTCCTTCCGAGAAACACGTTTCTGGGTTTTAGCTTAAACATGAATACAGCCGTCCCCTGAAGAGAAAAATAACACCGAAATTTCGGCCGGCTAGAAGACTTCACTTTTTATCTACAGTAAGTGAATAAGACAGAACCCGCTCTACGTTCGCAACGAAAAAAAGCCTTAAGAGGAGAAATGAGGGAAAAGTATATGATACACAGCGTGTGCGCAGCGAAAAATGAATCGGAGAAGCTTAAACCAGCGATCACACTGATACACAAACTGTCCGCTACCAGCGGATTCAACGCATGATTAAGAGGTTGCTTATGGGTGATCATAATTCTAATGAGAATCTTATTCGACGTTGCTACAACCGGTTCGGTCACGAGCTCCTGCTTCACTGCAAGACATACGGCCCATTACCAACGAGTATGACTTGTCACAAAGAACCAATGTTTGTGGGTTAACATCCTCCGAAATGACAGACTAAAACCATCGCATATTCTGTGTTTCCAAATGGCTGCAAACACCTGAGCAAGACGGAAAATAACTGCTGCCATCACATACACGGAAATAAGCAACAAAACGATCGGAGCAGACTTATTCCGCAAGCCACTTCATCTATTCCATGCATTTCGTGAACATCTGAATAACGAAGCCGAAAAAATGTCGGCACAATTAGTGGGCAACCTTGGATACATCGGAATACTGGTAGCTCGGGTGCTTTCATTGGTTGTAGATCGAGTGATGGTTGTTCGCCGTTCATTTTATATTCGAGGTGTGCGTTACACAGCACAATTCCTTGCCATTTTCTGTTGGGGAAGTGAATACCTGATGGGCGCCAAGGAGAGGGGACCCGGTTGGGGGTTGTCACAGGGTGATACAGTAGTATTGAATCAAGGACATCACATCGATATTTTCGATGTCGTTGCAAACAAAACATGAGGTAGCATTTGCGCAGCATATTCAGTAAAGGTTTGGCTGATACTCAGTTGACTTCCCCCCCCCCTCCCCGATAGTGCCCAGAAAACTTACGAAAATATCAACCATCGGCAACACATGGCCTAACCAAAGCAGCTCCTGGTGCTGGACACTCCCTTCAATGGAAGTCCCCGTTGCACAATCGAAAACTCGCCGTTTTCTAATTGCATTGTTACGGATTCGCCGACACCCACCTACAAGAACAATGGTTCTGACGTAACAATGGTCGAAAACCTGAAGACGTCTCAGTTCCCCTGCTTAAAGAAATAGCCTACAATGTAACCCAAGACAAACGTTCCTATAGATTCGAGAATATACCGCTTTGAAACCATAGATGTCTCAAATTAGCGAACGCGACTCCAGCCCCGTAAATCCCTGCATTGACCTATCTATCACACTACAATCAGAACTAATACAACTCCAAGATATGTAAAACGCTCCTCAACTTTGAGTGCTTCTCGCTGGATTGTACGTGGCACGTTCAGTGATTGCGTGTCTAGGGGCACGACTTTGTGGGGGGTTCAGTGATTGCGTGTCTAGGGGCACGACCTCACACTTTGTGGGGGAAAGTGCATGCCAAAGAACGGGATGACTTTGGTCAGTTCATCCAAAACACCTGCGTTTCCTCCACTTGGAAGACGAGAACAATGTTGTCTGTATACTCCAGATCCACAAGGTTTCCATCAGCATCTACTTGAACACCAGAGTTTCGAAGGCCCTCAGGCGTTCTTCTCATTATGTCATTGATCACGAAATTAAGGAGAGAGCAGGCACTCTGGACCGACACTGCTTTATGTGCGAAAGCCTTTATAGAGCTCTCAGTTACGCTCACATACCTGAAAGTGAGAATACAAAGACCTTATTATGTTCCCAAACTTCTGGGGCATTGCTTGGTAAGTAAGCGTGTTAATGAGAACAGACCGTCCAACCAAGTCGAATATACCTCGGGAATCCAGAAACAATAAGCGAGTGGATCGTTTGTACAAATGCCGTTGTTCTGGCATCTGACGGAGTATGAAGATTTGGTCAGCGCAATCCTTGCCAGGCCGGAATCCCGCTTGCTGCCCTCGAATTAGTGGGATTTTGATGCGCAGTTACTATCTGACTGAACCAAGTGTGAGGGTCAACACATCCCCTCATTACCCAGGGCTAGACCGGAGCGAATTCCAGGGGGGTCGTTTCTAATCTGAGAATGTGACTGAGTTCCGCTAAGATCCGCAGCAGTACTTCCGCTAACTTTGGAATCGTAACGACAATCCTGAAAATGAAACAAGCAATCCGAAAGGTCTGAAGGGACGTGCACCATGTATTTGTGATAGATAGTGCAACTAAAAAGCACACTGTGTTAAGAAATGCCCCGATGCAATTCACGAAGAACTTTGGAAACCGAATAAACCGTCATGTAATTACTGGCAAAACATTCAGTTATGCAGCACGTAGCGAATAACTCCAGTCAGCGTCTAAGTGCTGGCAGTGATAGTTATAAGAATGGTTGATTCGAAGACAACGACATACTATTTACAACCCACCGACATGATCTAACACCAAAAACGACCTATTCATTAGTGGCTTACTGGTTGAACGAAAATCGAGCGCACTGCTTTCGTGACACCAGTGGACAGTTCTTGAGCATTTTCTGCCGGATTTTCTTTGTTCGCGAAAACCAATCAAGCCACCATTTCCATTTCGCCAATCCGAATTAACCTCTTCATTCCATGATGAAAAAGCCTTGATTACACGAGAAATGGTAAAACAAACGGAGCTGCTTTGTGCTCATGAGTCCACTGGTGTCGGCAGTTATATTAAAACCTAAACAGTACGTGAATACAGCACTTGACTCATCTGTCATCGGCTGTAAACTCATATGAAGATAGGGTGATGAAAATGTGAGGATTTTCAGTGGAAATAGGCCCTGCCAAACAGTTTTAGAAGATCGGGAAAAACCTCGTAAATTCAGTGATCATCAGGAGTATTTGAGGCCTGAGTGTCCGCCCTAGACATCCAGAATTCCTCCGACTTGAAAAACGCTGCTGCAGTCTAGTAGGTGTCCCACCTATGGGGAGTATTCTTCACCTGCCATCTCCAGTATCGTCTGTGGTATTTTCACCTCCAGGTTAGCACTGAGTGCTTATGAGGGACACACGTTGGGCTTGCAACGTTTGGAAACTGTATTTAGCATATTACCGAAGTTCGATGCAAGTGACCATCCGTCATTTCTGGCGCCAATATGTGTCACAAAGGGACTGAAAATTATCACGGTGTAGCGGTTTGTGTTCCTCCGTGTTATACTCAAGTGTCGTGCTACACTTGCAGAGCTCCTGACAGAGCGGAGTTGTTCTCCCCCCCACAGAAAAAAAGTAATGAATTAGTATTCCCCCCCCCCATACATT